TGGCGGGTCACAACAGTGAATGCCAACCTAGTGTGATAACTTTTGGTTTCCCCCCGCCCCCCCCTTTTCCTTCCCTAGGGGGTATTAAGATGCTAATGTGGAGTATGCTTCCCCATAATCACGTGGAAAAATTATAAAAGAAGTAAGAATTTAGCGTTTAATCATGTTGATTGGTGGGTAGAAAATGACCCTCTATTCCTTTGTTTGGCAAGTCATTGGACTCTAAAACCATTATGGTCTTTTCTTGACCTTTATCATATTGGAGGAACTCATCAACTAAAGAAATTCTTCATTTTGAAGTCACTAACCACTAAGAAGGACACTACAAATGCCCTTGGTTTAAGTCTTAAGATTCCCAATATGATATTTTGTTTGGAAACTTGGAAAAGTAAGCTGGTGAAGTTCTAGAAGAGGGGGACTATCTTTGTATATATTGGTTGGAAAAGGTTTGTTGGAGGGTTTGGTTGTTATGTGCTTATTATTACAAGTGTATTAATGAAGTTTCAGATAATTATATTGCTAATTTTTTTAAGTTAGTATAATGTTGTTTTATTGTGATCTAGATGCCTCATGTTCAAGTCCCCTTCATCCTCCCCCTCAAAAAACAAAAAAAAATGTTTGAATCAATAAAACAATCTCTCCCCAAGTGGGTAAAGACTTTGAGTCGTTCTAAAGACAATGTAGTAACAAAAATTTTATATATTAGACTACTTTTATTTGATTGTCCAAATCCTCTGGCTCCACCCTCCTCACACTCATATATGGAAGTTGTGGGACAACCCTTATACTGGTATGGGAATAAAAGCTAGTTTTGTCAATGGGAAGGTTACAATCCTTCAAATACTCTGTTTTGGAATGAATTAGCCGGTCTTAGTTTATTTTTAAAGATAGTATCAGTTCACAAAAATTCCGTTTATAACATGGTTTGAGAGTGATAAGGGATGGACATGTCTTACCTTTTTTTTTTTATAAAAAAAAAAAATCGATTGTCAAACATAAACGTGTGTATATTTATCATTGTTCTTCCTAATTCTAAATGTTAAAATAACTAATGTTCTTGCTAGTTTTGATCTTTGTCACAAAATTCGCATCTTTGCAGGTTAATCTTTAAATTTTTCCAACTACAAAGACTTCAATTTTGATGGGATAAAGTCATTTTCAAGCGTCTGCCAAAAAGAAGAATACTCAAATCAATCCTTTTGGTGGCTCAACCCACCTCAGCCCCCACCATAAGCTACCAAACTTAAATTTTCTGAAGGCATACAACTCCCGTACAAAACAAAGCATCCATCAAATCCAATCTACCTTATCCAACCTTCTTCCAATTAACCACCAATCTGGAAAATACACTGCCGACTTCCGCGAGTCAATATTGTGTATAATCAGCCAATAAGAAAATAGAGTTCACTTCTTATTATAAACATGATTATGTATTATACGATTGAGTGGTTATGAATTTTAGTGGGACTCACTTGTAGATATTTATTTATTAATGAACGGTTGTACTACATAACACTACTGACGTGATATAACAGTTACACTTAATATTTTCTAAACTTCCACACCCTTGTTCCTAGTGCTGCCACTTGCTCGTCCATACTTTCGCCAAGTAGTTGCCGCTTTGGCCTGCCAGAGCTGCCAACCCCCACCCGATTTTTGCCACGTTGTAAATTCCCGTTAAAGGAATGGTCAACTAGAGAGAGAGAGGCCACCTATACACCTTTACCCAACTAATTGAACATACCTTTCGAAAAGGGCATCTAATAATGCCTCACATTATATAAAGGCAAGGACCAACTAAACAGAACACAACCAAAACTTGTTATTCAAACCAACTCTCTCAGAAAAATGGAATGGACAAGAGGCCATACCCTTGGCCGAGGCTGCTCCGGCACCGTGTCCATCGCCACAGCCAACAAATCCGGTGAGATTTTTGCCGTCAAGTCCGTCGAGCTATCCTTATACAAGTTCTGGCAAAGAGAGACCAAAATTCTTTCTTCTTTGAGCAGTCCTCAAATAGTTGGCTACAAGGGACAGGACATTACAATGGAGAGCAATAAGCTTATGTACAATCTTTTCATGGAATACATGCCCCGTGGCTCGCTTACCGATCTAATTCACGAGCGTGGAGGCCGGCTCGACGAATCGATGATCGGATACTACATAAGCCAAATTGTACAAGGGCTAGAGTACCTTCATTCAAGTGGTATCGTACATTGTGACATTAAAGGCAGGAACATACTAATTGGCCAAAGTGGTGCCAAAATTGCTGACTTGGGTTGTGCCAAGTGGGTTAACCCGGTAGGCGGAACCGGTGATCATGAGGCTGCCGGAGTGCCAATTGGCGGCACACCGATGTTTATGGCGCCGGAAGTGGCACGTGGGGAAGAGCAGGGGTACCCAGCTGATATATGGGCACTTGGGTGTACAATTATTGAAATGGCCACTGGTGGATCACCGTGGCCTAATGTTACAAACCCAGTTTCAGTACTTTACAGAATTGCATTTTCCGGCGAATCGCCGGAGATTCCAGAGTTTCTCTCCGACCAAGCAAAGGATTTCTTAAACCTGTGCCTCAGGAGAGACCCGAAAGAGCGTTGGACCGCCAAACAACTCCTCAAACACCCATTTATTGAAGACCTCAATCCTCATGAAAAACAGAGTCAGAATTTTGATACAAGTTCTCCAACAAGTGTTCTTGATCAGGGGTTTTGGAACTCAATGGAGGAATCAGAAACTCTTGGTGATATTGTACAAAAGAATTCGTCGAATTCTCCGGTGGATAGGATCAGACGGTTGTCATTGAATCCAAGAGTATCAAACAGGACATGGGGTGAGAACTGGATCACAGTAAGAAGCAATGAATATGAGCTGGGAGATGACAANCCCCCCCCCCCCCCACCCCCACAAAAAAAAAAAATTGGAAACTCTGGTGTTGGGTCTGGTAGGTTTTATGTTTTCTGTGTGTGATAGGAGGAGGAGGAGGAGGAAGAAGAGTCCTTGGCTATAGGGTTAATTTTCTTTCAGAGAAAATAGTTTGGAAACATGATTTATTAAATGTCAAGGGATGATTGGACAGTTTAAGCAAATGCTAGGAAATGTTGTTGTAATATGTCAAATATTAAAGTGAGAATTACAACGGCTTGGCCAATGGTCATTTGTGAAATGTCATAACCCACTCAACCACGTGTAATATTTTATTCACATTTTTGGTAACCAAGGGATTGAATAAGAGACTTTGTGGTTAGGATTTGGGAGGTCAACCTGTTTCTGGTGGGCTATCTCATCTTCCCCACCTCTTTGCTGTTTTTTTTTTTTTTTTATATATGTCATCCACATGAAGATTAAAATATTCACGAAAAATAAATTCTTCATGTGTCATGATTTGACTTTAAAAAATTGTTAAAATTTAAACTCAAGACGTCTGAATTTACAAATGTTAACACTTAAACTACTCTTAAGTTCTACTCCATCTCTTCTTAGAGAGAGAGAGAGAGAGAGAGAGAGAGAGAGAGAGAGAGAGAGNCTTTTTTTTTTTTTTTTTTTATATGTCATCCACGTGAAGATTAAAATATTCACGAGAAATAAATTCCTCGTGGATCATGATTTGACTTCAAAAAATTGTTAAAATTTAAACTCAAGACGTCTGAATTTACAACTGTTAACACTTAAAACTACTCTTAAGTTCTTCTCCACCTCTTCTTAGAGAGAGAGAGAGAGAGAGTGGGGGAGAGAGAGAAAGTCAATTCCTTTTTAACTTGTTCACCAATGGCACTATGCCAGAATTTGTATAATATTCAGCCCACTTGAGGTTCAAAATTGAGAACCTGTTGCCAACCTGTTAGCCATTTCTCCAAGGCCGACGTTACTTGCTACCATCAGAGTGCAACGTAAACCCTATACTTCATTGACCTTTTCTGGAGAAAACCCAATAATCAGGCCAAGTTAATGAATACGAGATTCAACAGAGGAGCTATTGATAATACCGAGGTGACAACATCGTCCCTATAACAGTTAGGCAGGGGCAGAGCCAAAAATTCAAACTAGGAAAACCAATTCGGAGTGGAACACAAAACCATATGGGAGTTAAAGGGAACACACTGAAAAAATCATCTACAGTTCAAGGGGGGTCAAGTTGAAAATATTTCTTAATTAACCAAAAAAATTAATGGGTGAGAATGTAATTTTCAAAACTTAGTCACTTCACCGCCAAGTCAGAGTAGTAATAGTCAGGCCAGTGTAATTCTGCAACTCAAGGGAAACCATATTGGAGCATAAGAGGCTATATGTCCTAATGTGCTTCCGATTTGCCATGGCTGTGCTCCAGTCCCCCATTTTTATCCAGTCCGCTAGGTAAAATTGTGTGCATTTGACCCTTTTCAGACATTGCAATGATAGAAGTCTCATACTGTCATACAAAATTTAACCATGTTAAACGATATGTGCAGCCAGCAAACTAGGCATTTAGTATTGGAAGGGGAAATTTTTCAACACCCACTAATGGCATCATCCAACATGGAGAGATTCTTCAAATGTCTTCAACCTTATAAAACTCAATTAGCTATTGAATTCGGTGCATTTAGGAATCGAAAGAATTCAATGCCCCAAGAAGTAGATATAACATACACTTCAAAACTCAAACAAAAAACATTCTTATCCAAGACATCTTCTGGTCTAATAATCCAATTTCTGACAAAACACCTCCACTTTATACCATACTAACCACTCCCAAGGATAACAACCAAATCTGTATTTGGATGTGCAAAAGATCATACTAGAAAAGCAGCCAATAAATTACTAATACATTGATTACTGCAAGCAGTTTCTATCACTTGAAAATAACATTTTACCCAGAAACCTTTATGCCTCATTCACAACTCACTTTTCTAAACGGATGTGTTCTTACTGTAAAGCCAGTAACTAAAAGGCCCTAGTCCCTAATCGTAAGATTCTATCAAAACGATAAATTAATCACCTCGCCACAGGGGGTTTCTGTTACCTTACATATTCTTTTTGCCATCAGAATGGGGAAGGCTCTGGTCAATTGACTGCAACTGATTTCGAAGGTTTTGATTCTCCTCCAGCAAGTGGTCATATTCAAGAAGGAATCCTGCAGATTGATTTTTAAAAGCCAGTGAATTGGATTCAGCAGCCTTCACCTCTTTGTCTTTTGTCTCACATTCAGATTCCAGCTTCTTGATCTTTGTCTTCAATGTGGAAATCTCCTCACCAACGGCTTTGAGCTCATCTGCACTGCCATTCTTACTATCCTCAAAACCTCGGTTCTGTTTCTTTGCAGCCTCCATAGTTTTCCTGAGTAAGCGTAATTCCCTTATGTAATGGTGTAGCTTATCTATCATGAATGAGAGGAATAGCGAGAATCCTGCTTTTAATGAATTCCTTCGAATTAAATTCCTCAAAAAGAAAAGGTTATCAGAAACATTACATCAGATAACTTTTTATTTTGAAAAATCATCAGATACTGAATGCAGGAAGTTTCTTATTTTATTTGGGGTTCAACATTAAAAATATGCACCAAAGCAAATCCTAGGTGGGCTACTCAAATCCCAATTCTTAAATTAGTAAAGTGACTGGTTCAAAAAAATATTGTACCCCTAATAGAAGTGTCCTTGACATGGCTGAATAAAAAAACAACACTTGTTCCCAATACTCGTTGGACTTCGACATTGTCAAAATTGTCCATATTACGCTTAGGAAAAAACAATGACTATTGCTCCAAAAAATCATGTGACTTTGACATTACCAACTGATGTGGGAAAAAATC